TACGTGTACTTAACGTATGTACGTGTACGTGTACTGTAAGGGCCCTGATACACTTGGTAAGTACTCGCTAGAGTCTCTCGCATAGTGTATCTACCATCTCGCTTGCCCTCTCCACGAGTTTGAAAATTCTCAACTTCAGGCGAGTACTCGCTAGCAAGAACCAATCTGAAGCCAGACACCGCATTCGCCTACTCGCTGGCGAGTACTTGCTAGCGGGTATCCACCAAGTATATCAGGGCATTAACGGCCGAGATAAGGTACTCGTGGAAGAGGAACAGGGATTGTAGGAATCAGAGTCTCGAAAGGTCATAAATCCATTCAATGATAATCTTTAATCTTCTGGGGAGTAATATACCAGATACTCTGTTTTTTACGATGAACAGAAGCATACTGTACAATCGACAGCCACGCATTTTTTCTACAGGAAGCATCTGATGGAAACTGAAATTCGTTGGTTCGGGTTTCAGTTAACTGAAGCTCGGCACACGACCGAAACTGAATTTACACGGTTCACTATGAAAATTTCCTGTGCTGACGGCACTACGGAAACTAAAACAGAAATATCTCCCAAGCTGAAACACCAAGTTTTCAATTCCGCACTTATTGTAAAAGTAAAAAAGAAAAAGTTGGATTTCGTTTACTGCACGAGAGCTACTTGGAATCTCCCTCTCGATGAAGAGTCTGGGAGCGAGAATGATGCTAGTCCCTTGGATGATGCAAGACGTCTTTGATGGATGAAGGGACAAATCATTTCTCTTGCTTCCAAATCGTCAAGGAAGTACCTAAGCTTTCTGAACAATCAGAATTATAAGATTCACATCTTTCAGCTCCTTGCAGAAGAGCAATACAGCTTTGAGGCTAGGAAGGAATGTCACGCAAACCATCCACGTCCCCGTCGATCGCACCTTGCCAAATTCCAGATAAGACGTATCGTGCGTCTCCTTCGTAGAACAACCCATTGCTTTTCATTGCTTACAGACTCAAGTTGGCACAGAAGAGAAGAAAGATGCTGAAGGTAAAGGAAAAAGTTTTATCGTGAACTCCTTCGACATGATTTCGTCAAGTTGATGACAATATGTGAGTAGGGTAAAAGACCCAGTGATGGACCGGTCCCCAGTGATGGGCCACAGCACACAAAAATTCCAATAGCAAAGATTCCAAACCAAGCCTACCCATGTTGTGACATATGCTAGCAGTATTCAAGCACATAGACACTTTAGAGGTGTTCATGGAACAAATGCCTAGTTTTTNTCAAGCACTTAGACACTTTAGAGGTGTTCATGGAACAAATGCGTAGTTTTTGGAATTTTCCTGCGAAGTGGCCCATCACTGAGTACCCGCCATTAACAGGCCCATCACTGGGTCTTTTACCCTATGTGCACCTCTCATTCTATCAAGAGGAATCTCACAGGAACCTTAGTTCAACTCTCTTTACTACACATTCATGCGACGGCGTGAAGCGAGGCCTAAACGAATTCTGTGCCCAATACAGGAATAAGCTTGATGGAAGTCAAGACCAGAGAACCCCCCCCCCCCCCGTTTCAATTAAACTTATTTTGAGGTTGACTGAAGCCTGACGGGACAACTTGTAGTACATTTAATTTTTCTCTCTCTTGTTTTTATTATTATTATTTATTACTGGCTTACAGTTGTTCTGCATTACTCATGCTGCCATCATGTGGAGATGAATAAAACTCGTTCAAAAGTCTGGCTGGGCTCTTCATGATTCCCTTTATTTCAGCAGTAGGCCTACTGTTTAACCGGAGGCTATCAAGCACTCGATGGTTTTGAGTTTCAGTTTACTGAAGCTCCTCAACACCGCTGAAATGAACATTAAAACGATAACCGATATTCCACTTTGCCGGTAAAACCAAAACGAGCTTTTCAAAAACTGAAACTGTACCTGAAAATGATGTGAAAGCAGAAAAAAATTGGAAGAGAAACTTTTTTGAAGGGGAATCACGCTAGCGGGTAGATGAATTCCAAACCCACCTATTTTCCAAAGTGGAAAACGCTCTTTACACGTGTCCATTCCATTGAAGAGCACTCTTACATACCTTGTATAAGTGTAAGAGTGCTCTAAATGTGTCCAGCGATCCCTCGCCAAGTGACAGTTTTCTAGACGCTCCTCTTCAATGGAATCACATTTCGCACGTTTAAAATATGGAAGGTTGCATTTAAGGCTGCAATTCTTCGTAATTCCTTTCATTTTGTGGATATTATCTTTAACTTTTTTGTTTTTGCCAGAAATCTTGACACATATCGAGGGAGGTCCAAATCCCTTGGATCCCCTCCGTTTTCGTCCCTGCTAATTATTGCAGAACTACTTTGCATACGTAGAGGAAATCTGCCCGTAATGGGGACATTTTTTTATTTATTGCTATGAAAATTGGATTCTAATTTTGTGTGGAATTGAGATGAAAACCAAGCATGAAAGGAATCTATGTCGGGAGCCGCCGTTTGAAAGTGTAATAATGCTGTATAACAATCACACTTCTCCTAAGAGAAATAAGGGATTTATTGTATCATCTGGGGACCGATACCTTTATAATATTTATCCTCAATGACTGATAAAATCATATTCATCTCATCACATGCGTCATAGAAAAGGGAAGACGGTCTTAAAGAATTCACAAGAGACCATTAATTGTTTAGTCCTGATTTCCCTGCTGTCATGGGTTCGTTCATTGTATCTCTCGTAAGTCAAAGGGCGAAATCCGTCATTTCGCGAAAGTTCTTGAAATATCACCAAACATTGGAGTGTTTCGTAATATGTCAATCAAATATTTCAGCAAATTGTGGGATCATTAATATATTAATATTTAACAATATATTTCAGGCATTTCGCAAAATGCCTGCCGGAAAAAATCCGTAGTAATTGCATCAATAGGAATTTATTTAAATTGCTGGAAATTCTGCTGCTTTCAAACAAAATATGATATCCAGTATTGGAGGAAAACAAGTTTTTGTAGCCAAAAGCGTCATAATATGCTGAAGCACAACTGATTGCAGTATTGCAATAGCTGTACTGCTGTGTTTCGCTGCATAGCTGTGCAATAATGTATGGAGAACCAAGAGTGTGGCCGAAGCCGAAAGTCACACGTAAGTTTTCCATTTTAGTCACACACCATGCGAGGCCACGAGTGTCGAAATCCAGGATACTGATGGCAAGGAAAGGCCTGGGGATCCGTGAACCCATGCTATGTAGAAGGGCATTTGGCACATTCGCGGTTTATAGTGGACGGAGAGGGAGGGAGGATGAATTCACAGTTTCCATCTTGTGACCCTGAAAAAGCCACGGTCAATGATTCACTTCCATCGTGATCGATGTCCAAAGAAGATCCTGCCTAAGTGGAATCCTTGTATATGATTCACGCATCAAAATAGAAACATTTTCTCCCCACCACAGCTTATGTGGAGATAAGGAAAGAAGTGAGCCATTGTCAGAATGGGATTACGTATCTTGAAGGTTAGACGCCTTGATGGCGACTAGAAAAGGTAAACTATCTGATTGGAAACTGTGAATTCATCCTCCCTCCCTCTCCGTCCACTATAAACCGCGAATGTGCCAAATGCCCTTCTACATAGCATGGGTTCACGGATCCCCAGGCCTTTGCCGAAGGACACCACCTACTTATAAGCACACGCAGAACATTCTAGCATGCTCTGGAAAAAAATTGTACTGGATATTCAAGAAATTCCGAGAACTTTCTTTCCAATCAGATACTTTGAAGTCCTGAACGAGTTGCAAAACTCACTGTTACCCAATGCAGCAGGTACTCGAGTCAGGTCATGTGCCCATGACCCTGTTCAAGCTTACCTTTAATTTATAGGCCTTCCAATACTGTATTCATCCTGGATGAAGTGTCTCGCAAATCGAAAGACTGGTTCCAAGCTATGAAATAAATCCTTTTCGGGGAATAAATAAGCGTCCAACGTCTCCAAGAGATGCTTACTGTTCTCGAGATCGAAGGATGAGAACCAATATATGAGCTTGTACGTCTCGGGCTCTGTGGTGCTTTTCGAAGGATGGCAAATTTTTGGAAATAATTCGTAATCGCTTATCGTGTGTCGCTGAAAAATGGCGAATGTTGGATGCTAGCTGCTAAAAACTCATATAAGACCCCAGGAAATACGAGGGATTTCTCAAAAGTTCTGCCAGTAGCCCACAAGTCGTCATCGGAGGCGACCGCAAAGTGCTACTTTGGGGCTACTGGCAGAACTTTTGAGAAATCCCTCGTATATATTTCCCATTGTTCTATGCATCCATGACACCACCAGACGGCGTCAATTCCCTGATTTGGAATCCTCTGTTGCACGCAAATGCTCAAGTTGATTCAGGTACGCAGAGCACAGACTGGGATAATGGTAATCTTTTCCCTCCCTAGTCTCTCCTTCCTTTGAAGACCAGTTTATTTTATGACTGAAGCGATCGCGAAATACAAGTCTGGCAAGTGATGCATTAATGCAAAAAACAGTCGGGAAGCCCTGTAAGGAGGGATGAAGGAAGGAGGTTTCGGGTAGTCTTGGTCTCGCGACCTCCCGGGTCAGCCCCTTTCCAGGCTCTCTATATTCACCCTTCCTTTCTCAAGAGACTCACCGTTCCTCCTATCTTCCCGCCTCATCACTACTACACTACCATGTTCAGAGCAGCATTCAAGGAGAGATACAGCTTCCTTCCCTTCTTGCACATCAAGGCTGTTTGTGTTCAAAGCAAATCTCTTGGACGACCGTGATTTTCAATGCTCCGAGGCGCTTTTGATCATCACCTCAACGTTGTGTATTGTGTAACCGATTAAGAAAGTCGGACAATAATTACTTTATTACTTTATGAGGTTAAACAGCAAAGTGGCTCAGATCATACATACATGGTTTTATGGTTACTTGAGAGAGAAAATATAATATGTAAGATAACGATATCCTTCTCATAATCAAAATTGTAATAATAACTTGAACGTGATTGAAGTAAATAATGGAGACAACCGGGTGAGGAATAAGAACGGCTATGGAATCTTTTATTCCTCAAACGTGTGCAACGCATAATGAGATCCAGGAACCTGGCTACGAAGGATCAACGGCACGAGAGGAGTATATAACAAAGCATAAAAAAAAGAAACTCAAAGACTCCCAGAGGATAACTGCAAGGGAGAGAAGTCGTATATAAAGGAAAGTCGTTTATATCGTACATTCAGCTCAGAGTCCCATGCATTTGACGCTCCCGGGAACATAGAACATGAAGGGAATCACATTAGGACGGGGTTCATATCACAGTTTTCGCGGATTCATCCTGCATCAAGACGCCGAGGGGAGGTTTGATGTCTGGAGCTCCCTGCCCATTGGCCAAGTGCATGGCTTGTTGCTGCTGCTGATGTTGATGGTGATGGGGATGTGGGATGTGATGGGGCGTCATGGGGATCCCAAGACCAGGGTGGCCGAGTGATGGGTGACCTTGAACTGGCATTCCCATGGAGAGGCCAGCAGCGGACGCCTGTGACCCTTGACCAATCTGGGAACTACTGCCTCCCCCGTGTTCCATCTTCTCTTTGTGCATCAGTTCCTCGCGCTTCTTCGCCTGCTTCCGCTCCTTGGCGCGCCTGTTTTGGAACCAGATCTTCACCTGCAATATAATTATAATAGAATATAATTCAACTGTCAAGTTCCTTTGAGTTTTCATCGCTACGAAAATTATAGTTCGACGACGCCGGTAAACTACAAACCTTGCCAAAAACGATCCTCTATATATGCTTGAGGCTGACAAGTCGTTCAAAGTTATTTTTAAAATACTTAAGTATTTCTTGGGGAGATACTTTCGTAATGGTAGGCAATTTTCGTAAAAATAAACCCGCGGAAGAACACTCATTGAAGCTGAAATTAGCGTAAAATTGTCTGATGTTCGGGTTGTGCAACATTCTTGAGGGCATCTTCAGACTTGGACCGATAGGAACCTAATGTGCAAATATTTCGACATTTCACAACTAGGCGCAGAGTATGGTGCTTTCTTTGGAATAGTTTCCCGCGTGACATTCAACATCTCAACAACTTCATGATTTTCAATTACTAATTATCTATAACGATAATTTATATGTATTTATTTATTTATACATTCCAACATTTTCCCCATTCGTCTTATTATCTGCGCGCAATACAAACAGGCATTTGCATAATCTCTTTTAAACACAAGATTACACTTTTAAATAATTAATATGGGAATGCAATTTCCGTACAAACCTGTCTCTCGGTGAGTCCGAGAAGAGAAGCCAGCTCAGCCTTTCTACGAATGGTGATGTACCGGCTGTAATGGAACTCCTTCTCCAGTTCCAGTCGCTGATGATCCGAATATACGACCCGGTACTTGTCCTTTGTCCTCGTCTTCCCTGCTAGCACACACCAAACCCCATCTCCTAATAGTCATTCATCACACCATACAAAATCCAAGGAAATAAATAGAGGGAGGGGCGACGACAAAAAAAAGCATGAAATCGAGCGGGAGAGATAATTGGGTGGAGACAAGAATTTATGTGCCTTGGTATGAGAAGGAGATTGGAATGTAGACCAGATTGTCATGCTGACATCTCCATTTGTCTGGGGAACTCCCAATTGGCCTCTCCGTCCCCTCTTATATCAACTTCCCCCCATATATCCATTGAATGAACCACAGACAGGAGACAGAAATGGAGACTGTGCTTGCGCCTTTCCCGGTAAATGTCCAAATGATTTACAGTCCACACGGACCCTGGAGGACTCTTGATGTAATGGGATATTCACAGCGATAAAAATCCGTATAAATGTCACATCTTTATCTTGGAGGTGACAGAAAACAAGTTGTCGGTCTTGTCATCGACCGTTTGTCGGCGGGGTTTCTCTCTATTTGCTGCCGATAAGATCCCCTCACCGTTCCTTATCAAAACCTTTGTAACGCCTCGATAAAGTCCCTTATATGCATCTCCCCTCAAGGATTTTTTTTTCGCGTGTTCCCACTCCAAACGAGAAAGTGCAGGTACAAGGACCGAGACACGCGACGCCACTTTCCCTTTGTCGGCATTTTCCCTCCCCCGAGTCTTTTGAGCGCGTTTCCCATCCGCCTTGTTGAAGGTGGGATTAATACTTCCTTTCCGGAGAGGATGTTTAAAGACGATGCATGGAGCCATGTATAGAATGAGAGGCCGGGGTAGCCTGGGGTGTGGGAAAACAGAAGCCGTTTGGGGTTAATAGTATCTTTCTCTCCACAACAAGACAGTTGACGTGAGTGTGGGACACTGTACAGGATTTACGCGCGCACGGGGTCACATCTATCTCCTCCTTTCCAAACACCTTTCTTTTCCAGCTTGGATTCGGGCCAAAATGCCCCCTTTCAAGACCGAATGGCTCTCAACAGCAACCCTTTGCTCGAAAGTCAAAAGCCATTCGAGACTTCGGAATAAAAAAGCATGTCCTCTGAAAGGCGGGATTAAGATCTATTGCATTATAAAGAAAAGTTATCGTTTTCAGAAGCACGAGGAACGGGGAGTGCGTAGGAACAGGGATAGATAATGATCAGTTCGAACTGGCGCACCGCGGGAGTTCGTTTTCTTTTTTTCTTTTGGTTGCAATATACCTCAGTGTGGAAAAGGGTAAAGAGATGTAGAGCTGGCGTTGAAGAGACGCAGGACGAGGAGACGGCGGGGGTAGACAGAAATTGTCCTCGGAGGCGACAGGGATGTCTAATGACTTCGGCAAAGGGTTCCCTCAAAGGAGTCCCGCCCGATACCTGAATCGCCTTCCTCATCAATCAACTCCCACGAGACACACTCCAGTCCGATTTGTCTCCTCTAAATCCAGGCTGGAGACGTTCGACAAAGACCGGCACGTCTTCCACCTCCCCCAGGCATTGCCCTCTTTTAAAAACATCTAATAAAACCTGCGATTGCTCAATTTAGATTTTCATAGCATGCGGAATTCAGGCGAAGCGTAATGCACACCGCGTAGTTCCGTGAACCAACTCCTGCATGCATACGTACGGGCGTGTTAAATTGCAAAAGTGATCGTCTCGTTCGCACTGGTTTCCGGTCGAAACGGCGAGTGATGAAATGGGAGAGAAGAGAATATCGGTGTGTGATTTGTCTTGTGGAGGGAGGAGGGCACATTGAGATCCTAATCTGGGATCCTCGGCCCCGGCCAGAAATCGTTCCCATGAGAGTCATCTATTCAAATGCTTTCCCATTCTCCTCCTCCTGCCCTAGCTTTTCCACCCTTCTGATATGTGCGCACTATTTCATCTATACGCGAGTTCCATTTCATCAACCATCTGTACAACATGGTTCTCGTCAAACTTATGGATTTCATGACCTCGTCACGGTTATCCAATAATTAATTGTTGACTCAGGTCTTGGTGCTAAACGAAACTAGTCAGGTGGCAGGAATGCGGTGAAGAATCAGAAATCAATTTCCCACAAATTAGCGCGGCGTCGGGAAGGGTTTTTCAGACCGAACCAGGCCATAAAATTGGAGATGTCATCTGTCTGCATGGGGGTCGGGACGGGGTCTAATTTAAGGTAAAGCTTTCGCCCGAGGCTATGACCCCGGGAGACCCCCATTGAAGGTCAATCACACGGGGAGACTCCAATCCGGTCCCGATATGCCGACCCCGTCCCTCCTCATCGATCAAACCCAACCCCCACGCCCGACCCTATCTTTCATGAATGCGAGTAAGAAAAACCTTTCTTCTTCTTCTTCCGAGAAATTCGCGGACGATAAGGGGGAGAGATATCTAAGTTGAACTTGTCAGAAGTCCCGAGACAAATGACCAGTGGTCAAACATTGCCCTCTTGAGAAGAGAACGAAGTAGCCCTATCTCCACGCCTATCTCTCCCAACATGACTCTTGTTAGGTTTACGCACTCCTTCCACCTACAAATCTTTTCCTCCTCTTTCAAATGCGCAGTGTACAAGAAAGATCAATCACGGATTCACACTTCTCGAGTATCACTCGATCCCCCAGAAATTGAGATCACGTCGCGGTTCCATAAGAAAAGGACGCATTCCAGTTTTCGATCTAGCCGGCTACTAAACAAATAAACTCTTAAGGGGAGTTAATGGGGACCAACGAGTCATCCTCGTGAGTGAAGAAGTCAAAAAGTTCGCCTCATCGACGACCGAAATAATGAGTGCAATAATAGCTTCACTCAGACAAAATGGCAGGTTACTTGAAGCTTTTAGGGATTACAGAGATTTCCGCCTCGTGCTATTCATTTAAATGTTTCCAGCATATTGGCCTGGGCTCGTAGAAGAGTAGATCGGGCTTATGTCTCCATCATCATTAGATGAGCTTAACATTCATGAAGACCGTCACCACGGCCCTCACAATGAGCGAATGGCAAGATTTGTCAAGCCCCTCGGCTGGTGACCCTCTCCCTCAATAAAAATGATGAAATAAGGATGCAATCCAATTCACAAATTTCGCATGTCATAGTTGAAATTCGAGCATATAACATTGTATTCTACAAGAAGGCCTTTGTTTGGTTAAACGAAGCCGCACTCCGTAGATCACGACGCATGGCTTCGGTTCTGAATACGGAGGGCAACAATTCTGCTACAGATGACTGCTTCACGTTGGCCTGTTCGATCCGGTTCGAAAACTCCGAATATTCATAGATGAAAAGGAGGCACTAACCAGGAGTGGGTTGGGTCTGATAGGAGGGTTTCTTCATCCATTCGTACGGGCTTCTTGCCGGTTGCGGGCGAGCAGCAGAGCAAGCCAGGGCCATTGCGGATTCTACAGCATTCGCCGCCGAAGTAACAGCTGTAGGAATGGAATCCGGACTGGGCTGACCACCAGATGATGTCACTGATCCTTCCAGAACGCTTTCGGCTCGTTGAACCGGCTGGTAGTCGTCCGGGCTGGGTAGTCCCGGGGTGTGATGCATCATCGGCGGGATACGGGAATAAGCTCCATGATGATGGTGGTATGGTGCATAGTGAGACGGAGATGGGCTTTGAAGGTGAGGATGAGCGTGAGGGGAAGGGGTTAACGAGATCGGGGTACTCCATTCCGGATCGTAGAATCCAGGGTTCGGGTGATGGTGATGATACCACGTTGGAGTCACGACTTCCCCAGGGTCCGAGGGAGGGAACTGTACTCCTGCTGCAGAGCAAGCCATCTCCGTCGGAGAGGAAGACGAGGAATAATGGGGGATGCTCTGTGCTGCCGTAGAAGCGCTATGATTCCCCGTTGTAGTGCTAGGTGGTACTTGGTGTTGGTACCCTGGGTAACCGAGGTGAATCCCAGGTGCCCGGTTCGTGAACATGGCCTGAAGAGATCCCCGCTCACACTGGAGTACGGGCATGATGCTGCAACCACTAATAATGATTCTATGGCAACTGCTCGAGGATCTCTTGTGTGAATGTGCACAAGGGATGCGGCTCCTGGTCCTCCCTCGTGATTAAGTGGTATGGGGAGGGGCTTCCACGCGGAAGCCCCGCCCCCTCACCTCCCGCCTCCACCAATCGCACTCACCCTCATCTTCACCTTCTCTCTCGCCTGGCTTCGCGCATTTTTGCACGTTTTGGAAATGCCAACAGCAGCTTTGTTTGCATTTCGCACCGAAGCGAGAAACAAACTATCACGGAAACCCTAAAACAGTGAACCGTAGGTCTTATACCACGCCAGAGGAAGGGTCTATTGGTCCAGGCTATCTACGCAAGCCTATATAGGCGCGCAATAGTCATAAAACGCTATAATCATTTTATAGGAAGTTTTACTGCAGAAATTGGGACTATATCCTGCAGTTCGGGGGTTGGATAAACACGGTATATTCCTGTATAAAGCCGTGGGGAATGACGGTTTACTCTCACAGTCTTCCTTCTTCTCGTGTTCGGTGCTGCATCTTTTTCGAAAGCGATTCCGACGAAAACCCGGAGAAAGAGGAGTGTCGTTTCACGAAATCCCGCAGAATTTCGCAGGATCGCGGTTGTGAGAATCTGGAAGCATCGTTTTCTGCTACGTCCATGCGAGTGACATCTCCGTGTCCCGATTCGACACGTTCGTCGAGGCTGGGAGTCTCTGTTTCGCGGCGTTCTAAAGACCCGGAATGGCTTGGAAAGGGTCGAGCTCCACACAACGATCCCAGCAAACTAGACTACGTTGCACCAACGTTGTAACAACGTTTCAAACGTTTATTCAATGTTGATTCAACATTGAGTCAACGTTATGTGTTTAAAATTGTTTGCTGGGATGAGGAGCGAGGACAAACAAAGGCTTGTGATCGGAGAGTGGATCTCACGAATTTCACGTTCGAAAACTCAAAACGATGAGTTCAAAAGACTTAAATCATAGAGCGACGCTCAAAAACCGATGGGAAATACTCTTTGAAACATACGATCGCAATAATTCCTCCATCACCCCCCTCCCCCCCTTCTTCCCCCTCGTCCCCCTTCCCACCCCCTCCCCCCACCAAAAAAAGCATAATTGAACAATTTTGCGTGTAATTTTGGGTGAGTGGTGAGGGGTGAGGGGTGAGGGGTGAGTGGGTCGCGACCCACTCTACGCTGGAATGCACGATGCGAGTGCAAGAAAGGTCGGGAACCTGAAGTCGGGAGCCTCAGACCATCGACCGATTTGAACCGATCGAATGAACGCAACCATCTCTGCGCGTTTTTTAAGCACCACCCGGCACATTCCAGAGACTTTCCATTAAATAAAAAAAAACAACCACAGGACGGATTTAAACTCGCTCGGCACTAGGAGAAAAGTAGTACGAATGACCTCGACGGCTGCCCGTGGTTTTTCGGTCTCGTCGTCTTAGTGACGCTCCGAAAAAATGGGCAGAATTATTTTTAAAAATACATAAAATATGCGTCTCGGAGCCAAATTCGTCGAAGATCGTGAGGACGCTTTTCGGATATCCATGGGCCCGGAGTCCTCGAAACTAGAGTTTTTCGAGCGGCACTTAGGGTAGTCGAAACCCTACCGGGAAACACGGGTGGCTAACACGGGTGGCTAACGCGGGTGGCTGACACGGGTGGCTAACACGGGTGGCTGACACGGGTGGCACCCACCGACTTCCATTGCGACTGCGTTCATCTTTTCTCGAGGAGCTCATCGTCGCTTAATACGGGATTCGTCGAGATGCGGAGAAGAGTCGTGAGATGAGACGATCCCTCTCTTCCGGTCTCGATGCATACGGTTCCGAGCTCCAAACCGGGAAAATCTCCCGACTCGGAGAACGACCTTCGGTGGAGATCGTCGAGGGGAGAAGAAGGCTTTTCCGAGAAAGGACCTGCAAGGAACGGTCGGTGAGAACAGAGATCGCGCCCGTTTTCCCGCTTGCGTCCTGTTGAGAAAGAACAAAAAAATGCCGAGAATGCTTTTAACCCGCTCCTTCGGCTCTCAACACGCGGTGGAAATCTGGCGGTGAATCGATCTCTCCGCAAACGAGTCGGGCCTTTTCCCGCGATTCCATCCCTCGAGAGCGTCGGCTTCCTCGCCTTCTCCATTTCTCGCTTTCTCGGGCACGATCCCCGACGACTCGTGACTCCTTTTCGTACCGAAAAGGTCGAGACGGTCGAACTCGAGCGAGATCTGAGATTCGGTCGATACCGGTTCGCGACGGTCTCCCTTCCGATTCGCCCCGAAGATCAGACGCAGCAAGGAGGCGAAAAGCAGAGGCAGGCGACGAAAATGATCCAAATGGAACGAGCGGACGAACGCGGTTTCTCCTCCCCGGATCGAGACGAGAGATTGCCGGCCGTGCACGGAAATGCCGCCTTGGGTGGGATTGCCGCCTCGCGTGGAATTGCCGCCTTGCACTTTCGAGCGCGGAATGCCGCCTCTCATCTCTTCGGGATTCTCGTCCCGTCTGGTCCCATCCGGTCCCATCCGGTCCCTCCTTTCCGTTTCGGAGCCAGATATATAGCTCTCTTTACGACGACACGTTTATTGCTCGGCTCTTTTTCGCGGTTACGCGTCGGTAGCCCATTCGGACCTCGACGATGACGTCCGGCGAAACGGATAAAATCCCATCGACGCTCGAAGATGCCGTAACGTTACGGCATCTTTCCGGAAGGTTTACGGGCGACGGTGAGAACCGAACGGCTTCAAAACCAAGTTCGGACGATTCCGATTCTCCCTTTTCCCCGCGGAGGGAAAGGAGGGAAGAGAGGGAAGAGCGGGAAGAGAGGGAAAGGAGGGAAGAGAGGAAAGAGAGGGAAAGGAGGGAAAGGAGGGAAGAGACGGAAGAGACGGAAAGGCGAAGGGAACGGAGGATGTCGATCGCGAGAAAGATTCGGATGAAGACTCGGAGACGGAATTGCGATTCGTATCGGAGTCGTTTCTTCGGGTTCTTCTGCATCGATGTGGAAAAAGCGTGAGGCTCAGGTGGCCACTCTTCTCGAAAAACCCTCCGACGCCGAGTCCGAAACGCGCACTCGATCCCGTGCGGGAGGAGCGTCGTCGGTTCGCGCATCCTCGCCCGAAACCGCCGCACGTCTCGCGGACGATCGGTTCGTTCCTCGGATCGATTCGCCTCGCACGATGCAGGGCAGGAATCCGCGATGGAAAACGACGGATCCGGCAGACGATTCCACCTTTCCGTATCGACCGTGCTTCCTCGCAGATTGGAGAAATGCAAATATTGTTTATCGATGCATTCTTTTGGAGTCGCTGCGATACGGCTCGCTCCACCGACTTTTTTTTTCGGGTCGATACCCAGGGCAGGAAAAAAAATCGGAAGGACTCGAAACCGGTCCACCTTCTCTCCCTCTGGAGCTTTTTTTTCGGGAAACTTGCGGAACGCTTCGACGAACGCCCGCCCGACCGATCTTACGGATCTCGTTCGGATCCCTTTTCCCCGGGGCGAGGCGATCGAACTCGACCGATATCGGTTCGATGTCCTCAAG